GCCCACCCCCACTGACCCATGGGTCACATGCATGTGTCAAACCAGAGACTGTTCAAATGACCTGGATACACTGAGATGAAATTGTTGCAAATTTACATTTAGGAGGAAGTACAAATGTAATGGGTAACGTTTGAATCCTGTAGTTGGGAATGGATTGGGTGTGGTGTCAGAATGCCTGTATGTTTGTGTGTAGTAGATGTGCTGTGTGACGGATGGGATGTATGTGTGCATGTGGAATGTTTGAAGCTGAAGCATCACAATGGCGCAGGGCTCCCTGGAGCAAGTGAATGGAGCAGTGTCACCCCCCTGCACCCGTCCCGCTGAGTGACGACTGCTGCAGCGCCACACAGCTGTCACTTCCTCTTATACACACACATATGGAGAAACGCACTCCTTTAAAGTCAACATCAATGTCATCTGCAGCTCTTTACTTCTATAGTGACATTTCGAAATAAAACAAGATATTCAATGACAGAATGGACAGAAGACAAACTCTTTTTTTGTCTTTTGAATAACTTACATTGATGGATCAATCATGATAAGGAGAGTGTATTACTTTCGTACATGAATGAATGATAAGGAGAGTGTATTACTTTCTTGTTGACTTTAAAGGGCAGTCATGCATTCATATATACTATACCGTACAAAGTTTAAAGATTTTTTAAAAATGTTTTTGAAAGAAGACTCTTATGTTCTCAAATACTGCATTTATTTAATCAAAAATAAATTCAAAGCTATAAAACAGTTTTCTGTTTTAGTATTTTAAACGTATTGTATTCCTGTGATGCAAAGCTGAATTTTCAGCATTATTTATCCAGTCTTCAGTGTCACGTGATCCTTCAGAAATCATTCTAATATGCTGATTTGATGCTCAAGAAACATTTCTTATCAATGTTGAACACTTTTTGTAACAGCATTCTGAATAAAAGGTGTTTTTTTAAGTTATACCGACCCTAAACTTTTGAAAGGTATAAAATATTAATTGCCTATTAAAAGTATATATAAAAAAGAAATAGTCAGTAGTTGATTGTTTGGTTATAAAGTCTGTTGTATAACCTGTGTTTGTAAATGTTTACATGTTAGGCTCATGTGACTCTGCATTAGTAAATGTGTGGTCAGCAGGAGACAGGTGGATTTTGAACTCTAACCAAAAGGGTAATTGACTAGAGATTTATAACTAGAGAATACTTTATAACTAGAGAAAAGTAATGTAACAATTAGTAAAAAATTAGTAGTGTGACACTACTAAAGCAAAGGAGCTCCATGAATGAATGATTGATATGCCAGTAGCATTAGAAGTGGTGGTTTTGGGGGTGTTTTCCTGCTGTATGAGTTTGACTTTATGTACACCTTTCATTATTACCTGTCATAAGAACAATGTGTCTGCATTGATCAATGTGATCGTATTTCATTGATGAGAGTTCTCATCCCTAAAAAACCATCACTTGTATGTTGATGTCACATGATTTTGAGCATACAGACCGTGTGTAAACGAACTGATTCTCAGTTTTATTAACTGAGTTCAGAGAGTCTCATAGCAGAGTTTGGAGTTTCCCTTATGTAATAAGAGAGTGGATGGTGAATGATCTCGGTTGTTAACGCAGATGTAACGCAGTCCTTGCAATTCATTACTATAATTGGTTTTGAATAGAAAGAGTCAAATGAACCGAACTCTTGACGTCAATTGAACCTGGGTGCGCAACAAAAGTGCTAGTGTGAAAGCACCCTATAAAGCCAAAAGTCTAGCTATGGATCACAAGATCATCTTGACATTTAGTATTTGCTCTAATACATCTAATTTATTGCCTGTCTGGAATTTGTACATGGTCTTTGTTTTGTTTTAACATGACAATTTCAGGTTAAATTTTATTTATAGGCTTACCTTTAATGGAAAGTATCAATCGTAGGTCTTGTTACTGGTCAACATTGCTCTTACACTGTTTTAATAATCTTTTTGCAATCATTAGTTCATTAGTCGTGGTGTATGTTGTGACATTTATTTTTAAAAGTACTAGTCTCTCTGGTATAATGGTCATAAAAATACCATGCATAATAATTATAAAAGAATTGAACATGTTTTTTTTATATACATTTTAAAGAAGTGTCACACCACTGAACGTCATATTGCCAAAAGTACTTTATCTATCTATAAATTACAGGAACGTTTGTCTGTCTGTTAATCACATATCTCTCGAACCGTTAGTCCGATGGATTTCAAACTTGACAGGTGTCTTGTTACGGGCACGAGTAAGTGCAGTGCAGAGTTTGACGTTGTTTGGATTAGAAATGCAAAAGATATCGTTAAATATATCTGTAAAAGAAGCACACATTGAAGTTGTGGTTTAAAAATAAACATTCTTACATTAGAGAGGGTTGTGGTTTAAAAATAAACATTCTGTCAGCTAAACATTGTCACCTACACTGTTCACTTCTGAAGTAAAAAAGAAGCGATTCTTTTCGAGAAATGTAGCGATTCTTTTCAAGGTTGTTATACATTTATTACAATGTAATTATATTTTTATTACAATGTAATTATACGCTTATTACAATGTAATTATACATTTATTACAGTGTTATTATACATTTATTACAATGTAATTATACGCTTATTAAAATGTAATTATACATTACAGTGTTATTAGACGTTTATTACAATGTAATTATACATTTATTGCAGTGTTATACATTTGTTTCATTTTTAAAAAGTATCGATCCATTTTTGAAAAAGTAGCAATTCTTTTTGAAAAAGTAGCGATTCACTTTTGAAAAAGTAGCGATTCTTTTTGAAAAAGTAGCGATTCTTTTAGAAAAAGTAGCAATTTTTTTTAGAAAAAGTAGCGATTCGTTTTGGAAAAAGCAGCGATTCTTTTTGAAAAAAGTAGCGATTCTTTTTGAAAAAGTAGCGATTCACTTTTGAAAAAGTATCGATTCACTTTCTAAAAAGTAGTGATTCTTTTTGAAAAAGTAGCGTTTTTTTTTTTGAAAAAGTAGCGATTCTTTTTGGAAAAAGCAGCGATTCTTTTTGAAAAAAGTAGCGATTCTTTTTGAAAAAGTAGCGATTCACTTTTGAAAAAGTATCGATTCACTTTTGAAAAAGTATCGATTCACTTTAGAAAAAGTAGCGATTCTTTTTTGAAAAAGTAGCGATTCTTTTTGAAAAAAGTAGTGTAAAAAATCTAATTATACATTTGTTTCAGTCTTATACATTTATTACATTGTAATTATACATTTACTACAATGTAATTATATGTTTTTTACAATGTAATTATACATTACAGTGTTATTATACGTTTATTGCAATGTAATTATACATTTATTACAGTGTCATTATACATTTATTACAATGTAATTATACGTTTATTACAATGCAATTATACATTACAGTGTTATTATATATTTGTTATATTATTATTATTATACATTTGTTAGATTATTATTTTGTTACATTATTATTTTTGAAAAAGTAGCGATTCTTTTTGAAAAAAATAGTTTTTGTTTTTTAATTAGTGTAAAAAAATGTAATTATACATTTGTTACAGTCTTATTATACATTTATTACAATGTAATTATACATTTAATACAATGTAGTTATATGTTTATTACAATGTAATTATACGTTTTTACAATGTAACTTTACATAGTTTAAAAACTATGTATAGAACTATGAAAAACTATGTATAGAACTATGAAAAAGTAGCGATTCATTTTTGAAAAAGTATATATTTTTTTAAGTATTGATTCATTTAACTGAATCTGTAAGTCAGCTACACTGTTTAATTCTGAATATTATATTTTATTCTGGTGTGCTTAACATTATCGTTTTCTCATAATTTAGGCTCCTGTGTAGCCTAGCTATTAAGCAACTCAAACATACCAAACCAACAATTATTAAAAACACACAAAAACTGATTTTGCACGGGCATTGCACTAGTATACTTAATTGTACACCACACTGTAAAAAATACTTTCATGATTTATCACAACATTTTTCTTTTGCCAAATCAACTTAGATAATTAATGTGATTTAGATAATTCATCTGGTTCAGATAACATCATATTTTGAGTTTCTGTTGATTAAACTAATCTCCTTCATTGTATTAACTAAAAAAAAAAAAATTCAATGAACTTAATTTTAGGCAACCATTGGTTACTTACAACCAACAATACTTTTTTACAGTGCAATAGATCATGTCAATAAAGTAGAGATAGCGTAGACAGAGATTAGAGTTATAAATGACAATTAAAATAGTTTTTTTTAATATAATGTGATTTAATTTATTTGCCATTCCTAGAGGTAGATTTGTGTGCTTTAGGATTACAGGAGCCTTACACTGGAGTACATGTACACACATGCATGACAGAACCTGCAAAGATACACAATACTTACTTTGTGCATCTCAATTGTTAATGCGGTATAGCAAGGCAAGAATTGCCAATTTTGTTACTACCCAGTTTATTAATTGTTCTGTACATTACTGCCCTCTAGCTAGCATAGTGAAACAAGTACAAACGTTTAGAACAGTTACAGTATGCCCACAGGCTGTTGTACATTTCACCTTCATGTTATGGGTATAAATAATTATTTATGGTTCAGTTTAGAAATATTATTAGTGCCAGTGTTTCAAATACAATTGGTCCTTTTAAGGTAACACTTTAAAATAAGGTTGTATACATTTAACATTAGTCTATTAATTAACATGAAGTATTTATCAATCTTGATCATGTTAACATTATCATTATTTGATTTATATTGTTTGTCAGCTCATAATGCATGTAATGGTAAAATACACAACTTTTAATTAAAAATTAAACATGTTAGAAATAAACCTTAACCAAGTTTAATAAATGCTGTTCTAATATTGTTTTCAGTTAACAGATGTTAACAAATGTTAACATACATCTTGTTGGAAAAGTATTACCCTTTAAAATAATTTTGAAGTAAAATATTTGAAAACAAACACTAATCGATTACAAATATCTTCTTTCTTATTTTATGATAGGGTGAAGATGATGATGAGCACTATTGTCACCTACTTGTCCCCAGTCATGGCAGGTGGGACTGGATGAGGGTGTGAAGGTAAACAAAAAAGACTGAAAAAGCACTTACAATTCTTTTGGGAGACAAGTTTTCAGCACATAAAAAGGGTAAGCTGTCTCCTTGCATCTAAGAAAAATCATGAATTGATATGCTTAAAACAAAAGAAAAAATCTGCTTCACCTTGTCGTGTTTGTTTATTTATTTTTGTTTTTGGTCACATATTGTACAGGTAGCAGACAATTTAAGAGCCTGCATCCCTGAAAATACCACCGCAATATCGAACCAGAGCCTGGAAGGCAGGGCAGCCACGGCCGAGTTTCAATGGCAACGGCACCCTAGGGCTGCCATGGCAGCAGCTGCCGCCGATGCCCCGAACCACATTGCCACACTGACGCTGGAGGACGAAGATCGACGAGGCGCCACCAAAGTGTTTGGAGGTCCCGCTGCAGGGAGGACGGAAAGAGAGACAGAGAGCGAGAGAGAGAGGGAGAGGGAAGGGAGAGGCAGTGGGAACGAGTGTTTGGTGTGCGGTGCCCTCTTCAGCTCACAGGATAAGCTCCGGCTTCACGCGTTCTGTCACGCAGGAGAGAAACCTTTCCACTGTTCCCAGCCCCATTGTCTTAAGGCTTTCAGCTCCAAATATAAGCTCTTTAGGTAGGTGTTACTTGCATGTAAAGGCCCGATATACTTCAAGCGTAATCGTAGAACGAACAGATGTGACGTCATTTTGAACTAATTCTTTCTAAAACAATTTGTTTCAATGGTTTGAAATAGCTCGCCAGCATCAACGTTCTGGAAGACTTTGCGCCGACTGTTAAACACCTTCAAACAGCCACTGGTCCGTGACGATTATATAATTTTCCGAGGTTGAGGTCAGACATAAGTAAAAAAAAACATCTCTCAATCGCTATCATTTTTGTTGTTTGTTGTGATATTAAGAGGATAGTGCGCAATACATATTTACATACTCATCTAAATACCGCTCCCTGCTTCATGACTAGTGTCAGAAAGCAGTATACCGTTTTAACCTTAAATGAAAAAGAACTTTGTAAATTAGACCTTAGGGCCTTGTCTTATTATTGAGAGATAGATACGTGGGTCTGTGGCTCTACCATTGGAGAAAGTGTAATGGCCAACTTGGATCAAGTGTGCCTTGATAACCAATCACATTACAGTGTTGACGTCATTGAATTACTGTCAGATTTGTGCGACAGTCAATCACTGTTTGCGGAACCATAGAAATTAATGAGAAGTGCAGTCGCAAAATTGTCTGCGACTTCTCTTATAAAAACAGCATTTCTTTCTGTGTAAACTCTAAAAATGGATCAATCCAAAACAAATGTTTAAAGGCAAACAAGATTAGCCGATCCTCTGTCAATTCATTAAATGATAATCTGTTTTCCCACAGAAGCAGTTTATTCAGTGTATTGAAGCCTCTCCTCCATTGACATCCATTAAAAAAAACTGCTTTTAATCTCCTTCCCTGCGTACCGCAGCTAAACTCTGCAGGACATCTGCAATCCATGAGCAGGATTGGACACCTTTGGTATAGTAGTTTATACTTAAGAGCAGGGGTGTCCAACCCAGCTACTGGAGGACCAACTTCTTGTTTAGCTCCAACCATAATTAAACACACCTGAACAAGCTATGGTCTTTAGGATTACTAGAACTTCCAGGCAGGTGTGTTGGATGAGTTTGGAGCTAAACTAGTCTGGAAAGTGGGCCTCCAGGAGAAGTAGACACTCCTGCATTAGAGGGTCCACTGCAGTCTGATATGAACTCGTGAACATGTTAAATACAACATTTGAGTTAGTTTAACAGAAATTTCCAATTTTCCTTTGTTCATCAGTCTTTAGCTAAAGTCTGTTTTTATCTTCTTTTTTGTAGGCATATGGCCACACACTCCCCACAGAAGACTCACCAGTGCTCATTTTGTGAAAAGATGTTTCACCGCAAAGATCACCTGAAAAACCACCTGCAGACTCACGATCCCAACAAAGAGGCCTTTAAGTGCGAGGAGTGTGGCAAACACTATAACACAAAGCTGGGCTACAAGCGTCACATGGCTATGCACTCAGCTACAGCTGGTGATCTTACCTGTAAGGTGTGCTTGCAAAGCTACGAGAGCACACCTGCACTCTTGGAGCACCTCAAGAGCCACTCAGGCAAGTCTTCGGGTGGTGCCAAGGAGAAGAAACACCCCTGTGACCACTGTGATCGTCGATTTTACACACGTAAAGATGTTCGCCGACACATGGTTGTACACACGGGACGCAAAGACTTCCTGTGCCAGTACTGTGCCCAACGTTTTGGGCGGAAGGACCATCTGACGCGACACGTCAAGAAGAGTCACTCGCAGGAGCTGCTGAAGATCAAGACGGAACCTCCGGATATGTTGGGTTTACTTGGGTCTGGTTCTCCACCTTGTGCTGTGAAAGAAGAAATAAGCCCTATGATGTGTAGCATGGGACCTACCAAGGACTCGATGATGGCAAAGCCTTTCCACGGTGCCACCCCTTTTCCCATGGGCATGTACAACCCTCATCATCTCCAGGCCATGTCCAATCCAGGTGTGGGCCACCATCACTCATTGGTTCCAGGGACTTTATCCACTGCCATGGGAATGGGCTGCCACATGGAACCTCCGTCATCACTGCACCACCATCACCCACATCATCATCACCATCACCACCCTCACCATCACCACCACTCCCCATCTTCACATCAGCAGCAGCCTTCCCTGCAGAACCAGCAACAGCAGCACCCTCAGCCACCGCCCAAGTACCAGCTCGGATCTACCTCATACTTGCTGGAGAAGCCCCTGAAGGTGGAGATGGAGAGTTTCCTGATGGATCTTCAGAGTGGACTCCCAGTTCCTCCGCCACCCTCAGCTTCGCCCAATAAGGAGGGTTTGGAACCTCCGGTGGGATTGTCGGATGACCTTTGCGGGGACCCCCTCATGTCCAAGAGCCCCGCTGTCATTGCTGAGTCTTTGTGTGCTGCTAACATGGACTTTTCTCATCTGCTGGGCTTTATTCCACTAAATCTGCCACCCTATAGCACCCCCATGAGTTCAGGAGGACTGGTAATGGGTTACTCCACCACCTCCACAGTTTCTTCTTCTTCCTCCTCGTCGTCAGCATCTTCGCATGCTGTCGAACCACACGCTGCCTCGGCCACAGGTGCAGTGCCTCTTACCTCTTTGCAACCTCAACCTCAGGAGCAACCAGGCTCCGGTGGGGGGCTCGGTCTTGGGCCTCTGCACCCACTCCCACCAGTGTTCAGCTCTAGCCTCAGTACGACCACTCTGCCTCGCTTTCACCAGGCCTTTCAATGAGGTCCCCACACCAGCCTGGCCAGTCACAAGGGCTCAGGGCAGAGGAGCATTAGTGCTCCCCATTGGGGTATGGAAATAGAACACTTGAACACATAGAAGCCTTAACAAAAGCGCACAACAGCTTTTTAATGAGCCTGGAGGAAAACAAGCATATGGAATATCATGGAGCTTTTATTTAGGCTGTCTGGATTTTAGCTATGATTTTTAAATACCCTATTGAACCTCTCCCACCATCCTCTGTCCTACAATTTCGTAGTTAGACAGCAGCATCAGTAGGCCTTAAGGCATGGTACTGCATACTTTATAAAGTAATAATATTAGTAGAAAAAAGAAAAAGATTAATGTAGAAAAGTTAATCTGTCTTTGAGACTCTGAAAGACTAGTTTGAAGTGAAATATAAATTTTGTTTTCTTTTCCAAATGTGAGACCTGACTCAAAGTCAGGTAATAGTTGCTTGCCCTTAAACTTAAACCGTCTTCTTGGCCAGGAGTGGAAGAATTAGTGAAGGAACGAAGGAGTGAAGTTGGTTATTCCAAATTATTTTTTTTATTCCGCAGATTTAAGATTCAACAAGACTCAAACAAGTAATTATCATCACATCTAAATTTCAAAAGCAGTTTAAAAAAATAATACTGTGTAAGTGATTAGGTGAAAATATCATTTAAAAAATGTGTTCTTCCAGCTTTTTTTAATGTGTGTTAATACAAATATTGGAATGGTCAGTAAGTAGTTTTTATGTGAAAGAACATAGGGACTGAAAATAGAAAGGCAAAGAGGGTAAAAAACTGCACAATTTGTTCACTTGGTACAATGTGACCACTGACAGAACTAAAGCAAAATAATTTTTACGTTAAATTCTTACAGGTTTACAATTTTTCTCAAAAGAAGCACTTTGTTTACAGCAGAAGGCACTTGACCTCTTTGGGTTGCCAACGTGACCCACTGAAATCCCCTCCCTTTCCCCATTCAACCTCCACGCTTCCTGAAAAGAGACACATTAGACACACACACACACAAGGTTCAAACAACCATCAATACTCAACAGCCATTTGAATCTCAAAATGGTTTTCCTCCTTCCAGCACTAATTTGAAGTCTCCGTGGCGCAACAGTATCTCACTTCTAGATCCTGACCTCCCGATCATATATATATTTTAAAAATTAAAGTATTTTAGGCAGGTTTTTATTTTAGAGAGAGACATACATTATGATAACCCTGGTATATGTGAATGGAAAAAAAGACAAAACAAAAACAAGAATATTTTTTTGCAGTGTACGAAGTACCACATCTGAAAAAAATATATTATAATTGCTTCTTTTTCAGTATGTTTTGTAATTTAGATAGTTGTATTAAAAATTGCTGATGGATTTTTAAAAAAAAATGTCTAGCAGGTTTACATAATTATGTATCTTGCATCATATTGAACAAAATGGATGAAGTATTAGCGTTTCCCTATAGCTTTTCCTGTTCCTTGTTTTTCCATGTGAGTCAAAGGAGATGAATAAGGTGGGATTTTACCTGCATATAATAGACTAATAGTGGCATAATCCAGTAGAATGGACTAGTCTTTAATCTTTAGAGCATGTACTAGAGGCCCATAATGTGATCCAGGTTTCAGTTTGCGTTTTTTATTCTCAGTATTCGATCAGACCCGGCTGATGCTGTCTATTGGTGTGTTTGGTTGTACAGTTTTTAACCTCCGTAATAATTTGCACCATCACACTGGAATGTCTGAAACCACAATTCCAGTTGCTGTAGGTTCATTTGAATATTACAAAAACAGGACTTCAGAGGGGTTTTGTCATATAATCTCTTCTAAGTTGCCATTTCCCAGCAAGTGGACTGCACAAGTTCTTACCAAATAATCATTCATTACCAATGGCCATGTGTATAAAGAAACAGATGATCAACGTACCAGCAGTGAAAGCAGTGCCTGATACAAACAGATGTATTTCTCTCTCTATTCACCTCATCCCTTTGGGTAAATCTTTTCTGTGTCCACATCTGTGTTTGTAGTGAATGTGAATCTCTCACAAGCAGGAAAGACAGTAGAAAGGTAAAAGGCGAAACTAAGACAAAACAATATTATGCTGCTCTGGAAACATTTGAAACTGCAAATGATCGTTTAGCCGAAAACATGCACAGTAGTACACGTGAACTGTTTGTCCGTTTTCTCCGTTTTTTTCAGCTGCTTTGATTCGAATGAACATTTTATGAAAAGGGTCTGAAAAGAGACGCAAAGAAGTCACCAGCCTGGTCTTTGACATTCAAAGCATGGGACATTTGATTGGGATATTGCCTAGTCGTTTTGTCATTATATTATTTTCTGTTTGTTGAAACAGGACCTCAAAACAGCACAACGCATCACCTCATTTATTTGTTTTTCATACCAAAAACCTGGGGAGAAGAAACTTGTTTTTGCACAACTGACATAAAAGAGTAATTGAGTACGTTTTTATACTGTAAAAATTATTTCTTGAAATAATTGTTTCATAACAAAGCCAAAAATATTAAGTTGTCCCTATTTATAGGCATTAATGGACTTTTGGACACAATTTTACAATCTATAAATGTAATTAAAAAGTTCAAAGGAATTAAAAACTTCCTTTAAAATGAATCGAATTGAACATTATGAATGTGTACAGATACATTTCTAAAAATTGGAATTTGAAGTTGTCAAAGCATTTATTTGAAAAAAAAAAGAAGAAAAAAAGGTAAATTATTTTTAAGAAATAAAAATGTTATAAAAAGGTAGATATGTTTAACAGAATAAGGCTTTTGGCAATTTTTGAGTTTGTCCTCCCCGGGTTTTCTGTGAGCTGATCTGAATTCTAGCACTTTTAAACCTTTAAAAAGAGTATTTTTCAGCCTTGTATGTTTGTATGTTTTTAATTTTGTATTTGATCTTGTATGTGCCATTAGTTTGACGTGTAGAGTTTATTCATCTTTATGTAATTGTTGTTTTTCTCCTTTCTCCAAGAGTAACAGTATTTTAGATAGATTTTCACTAATATTAACTGCATTGGCCATTTTCCCCATGTTGTCTTGTCATACATTTGAGGAAGTCATTTAATGTTAAAATAGATTTTGTTAGAGTAACATGCTTAGAATAATTCTCAGTGTCTGGCAAAATCATCATCGCCAGAAACCAACGAAAAACCTTTTCCAGCTCCATCTATGACTGAGGTGTTTTCAATCAACATTAATAATAACAAACTGGCAGGTTTGACTGGTGGGAAATTTCCTCCAGCTCTCTGCCCCCACCCCCCAAAAAAGCACTTTTGGTTTAAATGAAGTTTTATATAATAACTGCCTGGATAGGTGGAGCTCAGCATCCGATTGTAGTTTGTTCTTTCTTTCTTCAAAATACCAGCAATATTCTGCAACAGAATTGGTCAGATTTTCCTCTTTTGTAGCAAAGCACTTGTCCTTTATTCCCAAAATACTAGTTGGTTCCTATAACAAAAATATTAAGGGAAATTATGAGGTAACCAAGCTAGGGCAAAACAAAACAAAATCTGACTTTTAAGAAAAGGAAAAATGATTCAATACAATGCTCTTCCGGCTTTTAGTGAGAAAATGGGTTCGTCCGCAGAGGACAAAATCCACTTGTAGTTTGATATATTGTAGTTTAATGTAAGTCTTGCATTCCAAGCTTTCTATGTAACTTGTTTAGCAATATAGTCGTTTTATTTTTAGTACTTGTGTATTACCACGACTTCTGGGAAAAAAAAGGTGAAAACTAAAAAAAATGGAATATTCATCCTTACACTATTTTATATAACATGGAGATGATGATTGACAGGACAAATTGTACAAAAGAAATGCATAACAGAGATAAACAGTGCGCTTTTTTTTGTTACACAGCTCACCTGCGGTCAGTTGCTGCATTGTAAAGTTGACAGATTTGTATATTGGTTGATCCAAAGAGATGACATTACAACAAACCTATTTACTTATTGTACAGTACATTGTACCATTTGACTTGTAATGTGTTATGTTAAAATGATTAAAAGACAAACCCACGGTTTCATATTTCTGGTGTCCTTTTTTAAGCGTTTGATTTCCTGTGTCTGCAGCGGTGGGAAAGGGTGCGAGAAGAAACGGGCTGGTTATGGCTGAAAACTGCCATTCGCATAGCATACAGCCAGAACAGGAAACCACACCACAGCGCACAAATGAAAAGACAAGAACGGCACAATTCCAAGTAATAAAAATCTGAGCTATAGCCATGCTTAATTATAAAGCATATCTCAAACCTATACTTTTAGGCCTACATCTCGAAGAGTTGTTTTAGGCTCAAAATTACCACCAACAATACGTAATTTCTCATGTGAAAAGGACTTAAATCTGGAGGAATTTGAGGTTTTACAGTCTTGTCTTGCATTCCATGAACAGATAGGACTCGGACTTCCTATTCTTCTGAGAAAAACACTCGGAACGGCCGAATGTCGAGAAAACGGTCATGCTTAGCGAACAATGTTCCCAACAAAACCTGGAAGGTATTTCAAATGTCAACATATTGGCACTTTTATTGTTTTATACATTATAAATGGACATTCTTAGAGAAAGGGAAAGAAAAATGAACATGCTTCTGCCTAAAACAAAGACATAATGGGGACAAACAGCTCGACAAAAAAAAACAACCTAAAATGCAACAATATAAAGCACCGTATTTACACCATTAACATACACAGACCCATCGACCCCACGCAACAGGAAGAATAAAGTACTTCTGTAGAAAATATATTCTGTAGTCCTTGCATTTATTCATAAAGTCACCTGTGAATTCAGAATCCACCAAACCAAAAACTGACCAAAGCGTATGATGATGATATTTGAAGACGATATAAAGACCGGTAAACTTTGCTATAGTGTTTTAAACTACTGAATCTTGCAGCTGCTTCACTTTAGGTCAGAATTTGGGGGACCTAAAAATTATATACCCATTTCAAAATAAATCTAAAAAAAAAGCACAATGGATGCAAGAAAATATACTGCTACCTCTCGGGCATATTGCACACATTTGTGTTGATACCCTTGCATTTTGGGGTAAATCCACCAAGATACATCCGTTTGTGGCTACAGCAATAGTCCATAGGTGAAATACCACCATCAAGGCATGAGAAAAAGAGGTTTAAAAGAAAAATGCCATGTCAAAAAATGTATTATACTATGTTGTGAAGTGGGAATATGCTTATAAATTGTAGATTTTGAAATGGAGCTGTTAAAATGAAATATCTAATTAATGCGTGACCATAAAAAGCAGACCTTTTTTTCAATGGCAAGGAACAAATGAACAGAAATAAAGTGATACTGCATCGTTATAAGGGTATTTTAGGTCTAATGACCAGCAAGCACAAGGAAACAAGGAAATCTACTTCTTTTTTTTTAATGTCCTTGCATCGTCATGTCTTTACATCCCATAATTCCAATCCATGCCAACACAATGACCACACATTCACACACACACACACACCTCAAGACAACAAGCATTCAAGAACTCAGTTCTGAATCAAAGACATGGGAACAAGTTGAAATTAAACGTTATATTAAAAGGACACAAAGTTAATTTGTAAAATGATATAATATGCAATTAACCCTCAATGTCTTCAAAAGGATGAGACCCAGCCCAAAAATCCAACATCCCCACCCAAACATAAAGAGAAAGTCAATCGACACACTTTGGCCCATGTTGTGTGTGCAAAAGGATATACAGACATTAAAAATGGAACTGTTCATGTTGTTTCTCTACATCTTTGCTGAGGCAGAGAGCAGGACAGAAAGGTTTTGAAAACGGTGTACAAAACACATCGCTGTTCATTCCTCCAATCCATAGGGGGGCGCTGCTGCGCCTCACGCCAGCAAATCACACACGTCAGTGCTTGCTTCACAAAACAGAAAAAAAAATAAGAAAAAAAATGGAAAAAAAACTGAAAGACATATTTCAGTCGATTTTGACTGCGGCGTAAATTTTCCTTATGAACACGTATGCTGCGTAGAAACCAATCGTTCCCGTTAGCAGCCAGAAAGACAAAACCATCAGGGTTGTGTAGCCAAAATACAGCAGAGAGGGAATGAACTCCACAATGTCCAGCTGAGGGAGGAAGAAAGAGACAACCATGTAAATGCTGAGTACAAAACAATGAGTCAAGTGTGCAATTGTAAACTAAAACAGACATATCTCAATCTTCGACTTAATTTAAAGCTGCCGTCGACAAACATTTTTTTATCATATTCAGTGAAATCGACACTATAATCCGACAGAACAACATAAATAAAGTGGTTTTAGAAAAAAATCCGAGCTTCTAACTCCACCTGGAGCGTGTTATTTGTTTTGCAAAAATCCACAGATCATCGGGTCCAATCAGCGCAGGGGGGTGTGAGATCTGACTGTCAATCACAGGTCGGGCACACGCCACCCCTCGCGCACGTTACAATCACATGCACACGCCTGAAGTTCGCGCAGTAACGAAGAGTGATGGCGGAAAATCAAGTATAAATGACGTTCGCAATTGCAATCTATTGGTGGATTAGCCAGGACAGCATACCTCCAAATAATCCATGGTGTTGATGGATGCTGATGAGACGGGCGCGTTCACAGATAACCTGGTGCACACGTACTGATGAGCACGAACTCGGTGGGAGGGTATTTGTTGATAGTGGGGGAGGGGCATGAGAGTTGTAAACATGCAAAATTTTGCCTAAGTTCACTCAATCTGCCAGACTTGCCGACTTCAGCTTTAACTAGACAATGTCAAACTATTTTAATTGACACTGGCTGCGTCCGAAATCACATACTCTCGAGTGGGTACTTATTTTCAGTAAGTAATCACTTCACAACCGCTAAAAAATGATGTTCTATATGGTATGAGTGTGTGAATGTAATCCGGATGTAAAACATTCGCCATGCTGTTATCATCATGGGACCTAGCAGTGTCAGTTACATCGCTTCACTGCCATTCACAAATCCTCTCCCGTGGCCTCATGGGATAGTAAAGTGTCCATCATATGCAGGCTTTAGAATCTCGCTGGAATAAGTAGACCATCCGGGTACTTTTTGCCTACTCTTTTCAGTACTGTGAATTACTTATTTTGTCACATACTTTTTTTCGCCTAATATAAGTAGGGAAGTATGCGATTCAGAGGCAGCCACTGTATCCATCTCTCGTTTTTAGCTTTTGCACTCCAAATAGGGATGGGACGGTATGAAAATTTCATATCACGATTATAGTGACCAAAGTTATCACGATTATCAATATTATCACGGTTTTGTTAAAATGAGATGGAAATGTTCAAAAAGAACTGATGCTCACCCTGAAAACATTTGAAAATCAACAAACAAAAAATACAATTAGCAGGCTAGCAGCTATATGCACTTTTTTAACCATAAACATTATATTAACATTAACATGGAGCCCTGAGAGTGAGAGGTAGTGCAGGTTTTAATGAACCCGTCATTAAACCATATCATTAATAATGATAATAACACTTATGGATGTGTGTATGACTGAATATTATTATTATTAATAAATAATAAATCGCTTTCTCTCTCACACACACACACACTCACACGCACACACACTTTAAATGAACAAAATATGTTGGTTGGGTCAGGGTGACTAAACTACTGGAATACTTATAATGACTGTTGTAAATAGCAACGCACTACACAGCGCACATCCATGTCTCGGATCACCGTGGACGCAATCTCTGGTTTCATTCAAATGTGTATGTCTTGCGTCTCAGTTTTGATTGTATTGAAAATTAAATCAGAGTAATTTAGTATTAATACTACTAAAATATTGTTGAAGTGATCACATTTACTTTACGATTGATTTGGACACTGTAACTTGTATAATGGATTTATAAACCGGCAAGATTTAAAAACATTAAGTTAATCACAATTCAATATTTCATGTCCCTGAAATTATTTCTGTGGTAAAAAATAAAAAATAAAACTGTAATAAGTTTACTATGAATGAATACAATACATTATCCCTTAAATGTCACCCTTAATAGTTTGAATATGTTCGTTCGTCTTGGCTCAAATCCACTTGCTGTAAAACTTTTCTCTTCGCGGAAGCTTTGCAATAATTACAAGTGAGATAATGAAATAATTCATCTCCAATAATTTTTTTTGTCTAATTATTTGCCCAAGTTAGTTGTGCTATTAAGGTAAAAATTAATTCAGTGGGTGGTTGTCACGTAACGTTAGATGACTTGACGTGTTTCCCCCTTTTGCAGCGACTTTCCTCTTGCAAGATTTGCAGACAGGGTGCCCATCCTCGATTAAATTGCCCTCGGGACTCTTGTAATAGCCAAAATACGACCATACCTCCGATTTTGTCCTCTTGGATGGCTGAAAAATCTCCCGTGCGCTGTCACTGCCTTCCGCCATGTCTTCTCGCGCAAAAAAAACAACATTGCATCTGCGCGCCTGCGTCAGACTGATTCTGGCTGGACAGGATTTACCGCGAGTTTTCAAAATCACGATAATCAAACACGGTTTTTATGATAATTAAATTTTAAACGATAATACTAACCGCCAGGACATTTTATCGTGGTTTATCGTGAAACCGGTAATCGTCCCATCCCTAACTCCAAACAATTTTAATATAAATAGTTCTCAAATTGCATTTGTGCTCCATTACTACAGCAGACAGACAGATTTTCAACTAAATGAAATAACTTTTTTCAAACAGGTCGCCCCAAACAATCTGTCCATCTTCCATTGGTTGGATAAAAAGGTAGCCCCACCCCTCAACACTACTGGTTGAGAAAAAAAAAGCTAAATACAAAAACAGAATTTTTCTAATGTTAAAATGTGTTTTGGTCCTGTTCAGATAACTTAAAATGTAAATAAGCCCCCAATTAATTAATTTATTATTCAATTACATTATTCATAGACACAACTTCCATAAAATCCCCATTGTTTGTGTGTGTGTGTGTGTGTGTGTGTGTGTGATTGTGTGATAAGAAAACAGAGCAGACTCAGTCTAATTACTGTGTACAGCGGGATTGAATCTATTCTACAGTTAATACCACTTTAAGCTTAAAATGATGTTGTAGATTCCCTCTGCCATTAAAAATGCTTAAGGTGCTAGAAAGGAAAGACACTGCAGTAAATAAAAGAGGTCTACTGTAACACGCTGAAGTAAAGATAGTTACCTTATTGACAAAATAGAAAACAGCATAGACTAGGACATAGAAGGCAGAACCTCCGGACACGAGAAACGTCCTCCACCACCATCGATAGTCCTGTAGGGGGAGGGGCCACAATGATTGACAGGTGTTTATTATTCAATTTCTACTGACAGTGAGTGAGCTCTATTCAAGTTCTACTGGACTAAGTGTGGACACCATTGGCATTTTTTTTAAGAGATGATTTAGCATGCATGGTGGCCATTCAAATGAAGTGACCTTTGCTTTTGTTATCATAACTCTTAATATTTGCCTATTTATCTTCTGTAGGGGTTAGTGTATTTGTGTGGACAGTGTGTCAAAGATTATAGACCTCAACCGATACAACAGGAACACCAAATAAATGGCACAGAGCAGCACTTTGACACACAAGGTTGCCAAAATGTTCTCTAGGGAAGTTCTTAGAGTGGGTTTGTGGTAATGTAAGAATCGCATCTGAACTGTATTACACCTATGGTGTTTTGTACATAACAATAGGCATATATTTACTGCTAGAAGTACTAAACGGCTCAGTTCCATTTTGTTCTAGGATCATACACCCACCTCTGCACAAAGCTGGAAGTACACCATCACGATGCTGATTTGAGAGCAGGAAACAACAAGAATTATGAAGACAAGGAAGAGGAAGCCAAACAGGTAATAAAACTGGTTTTCCCAGATAGCCTATAAGAGAGTATAACACACCACAATGAGCTGATATTCATAGACTCGCTGAAAAACATCAATACATAAGTACATTTAATATGTCATACTGGATGTATGCACTTATAAACAGGTTTGTTGTTATAAGGTTTGTTGTTATAAGTGCAGGTTGTCTGTAGGTTTGATTCAACTTACACTAAAGATGAAGAAAAGCTCGATAAACATGGCGCCGAACGGCAGGATTCCCGCCATCAGGATGCTAAAGGGAGAGAGCAATACAATGCCATTAGCATGCACTGCTAATCAACTATTCACAGACTAACAAAGACAATACAAAGAGCGCCACTTACCCGACAAACTTGTTCATGTACCAGCGCTGCTCAGGGACCTGACGGGGGATCTGATTGGTACGAACTGGATTGTCATACGGTTGTTTCCGGAAACCGAAATAGTAGCCCAGGTACACGAGAGGCATAGAAATACCAAACCACATACACAACAGAGCCAGCATTGTAGTGAAAGGCACCTGAAATATGAGAAAACGAGATGGCAGTCGGTTTACAAGAACATTCAAGCTGAATAAGAGGAAATGGTTGAAGGCAGCCATCGACTTCCATAGTAGAAGAAGAAAAAATACAATGGAAGTCAATGGATACCGTCAAATGTCTGGTTACCAGCAATCTTTCAAATATCTTCCTTAGTATTCAACAGAAGAAAGAAACTCGTACAACTTGATTGTGAGTAAGTGATTTTCATTTTTGGGTGAACTATCCCTTTAAATCAGTCTAATGATTCCTTTACTGAGTGAATCCATCATCAGTAGCAGTTACTAACGTATACTACATTTTAATAGTTTGAGGATCAAGATTTATTTATTTTTAAAGAAATCAAGAATTTTTTTCAGCAAAGATCCATTAAATTGATTGAAAGTGACAGTTAAGACTTTAAATTGTCACAAAAGATTTCTATTCTAAATAAAAGCTGTTCTTTTGAACAATTCTACTCATTAAAGGATCCTGGGGGAAAAAATGTATTGTGGCTTTTACAAAAATAGTGAGCAGCACAACTGTTTTCAACATTGATAATAAGAAATGTTTCTTGCGCATATTAGAATGAAGATACTTACAGCGCCAGAAGAGTGCTCTCCCCAGATGAAACAGTTCAAAACAAAACAGATGCTAAAGACGGCAGCTGGGTACAGAGTTGCCGTCTAGAAGGACACACATACACAATGTCTTTTATTTCTTATTCTTCCAGCAGGTGTAATCTCCAAGCTCAATTATTTTGATGCAGCAAATGTTTCAAGAGTTTGTACTCACACAGAAAGCCCCTTTCTTCCATCTGTGGCCTTTAAGAGTGCGGTAGAGTCTTCCTGCGAAGAATCCTCCGAATAAACTGCAGGACAAGACATGAAGCCGACCGTTTCAAAAGAGCCGCATATGAAACTAGTTCGAAAATGTCGTTTTTATTGTGCATTTACCCCATGAACATGAAGAGGAAGCAGGCTGTTGTCATGAGAGCTCCTCGGCTGGATGGAGACAACATCCCCAGCATAGCCACAACTACAACACACACGCACAGTTTCATTGTATTTAGAAGTCACGAAACAAATGTTTAATGAATGAACATTCAAGAAAGGGAAAGGGACACATGATAGCACTTTATCAAAGACATTCGAATTCTGTGGAAACCTGCAGTTTTCTGGAGTTGTGTGGCCTAGGATTGTGACAGTACCAAAATTTCAATTGTTGGTACCAACACCTGTCAAATTTTGTGGTTCTCTGACCATATTTCCATACTTAAAGTATTGAAGTAGTTAAAAAAAAAAAAAATTCTGTCCGTTGACTTTCGCAGTCAATCATCACAGTTTCCGATTCAATCCTGCAGTTAAATATGGTTGTCAATCCAGAAACTTCGCAGTGTACTTAGCAGCATGAAAAATTTCACGCTGTAAATAGAAACCTTTGACGCTCAGAGAGTGCTCAAACAAACACAAAAGTGCTTGAAATGTGTGCAATGACTAATTTTATTAACATTAAAACTGAAATTTTGCAACCGGCTATTCAAATAATCTTACCCTAATTAAGTCTAACCCCAATTAATTTTAAAATGTAACATTAACATGACAGTAATTTAAACGTAGCCTTTGTAAAAATATAAAGCAAAATATTAAATGTGTAAGAAAAAAAAGTAAGTGACTGGTATTTCCAAGTCGACTAGCGGCAGCAGTATCCATTCATTGACTAGCGGTGCGTTTAACAATAGAGTGGATGCAGATTCCATATGGCCTAGTCATTAGCAATTAGCTAAAACAAAAAGCATAATACTCACAGATAACAATGAGAATCATGCAGAAGAGCTGGATGCCAGATCCCAACAGGGAGCTAAGTATCATGGGATACTGAGGTGGGCGGAACACATCACCATGGACGTTCTTCCAACCAGATTCCTCCATTGTGTCCTCCTATTAACAACAAAAAAAGAGAGAAATAAAGCACTGAGGTAACATTATATAATAGATGAATATCAGAGGGCAAGCAACCAATCAGAAAGTAACATCTTACAATGTCATCTTCTCTGTTGTAGTTGGCAATGTCCTTCCTCAGCGTCCTGATGATGATCATACTCAGGATGCCTGCAGGAAAACACTTACTTAGATGCCATTGCAATCGAAAAGTGCTTCGAAATAAACAGGATGAAGATGAAAATCAGTCACACCTGACAGAAAGAACACCACGACTACAGAGTTGACGATGGAGAACCAGTGGATCTGCACGTCACTCATGGTGAGGTACGTGTCCCAGCGAGACGCCCATTTCACTTCACTCTCCTACAATGAAGAAGAGAGCGGCTACTTATGAAACCAAACAAAAACATGTAAAGCACAGGCAGATGTCTTGGAGGAGGCGACGCGTCTCACCTCCCAGCGCACAGAGTAAGTGAAGAGAATGCTGTTCTCTTTGGATGGGTCGATCTCCTGAGGGACGGGGGCAACCGTTTCAGGTAATGTGCATGTACCTCGCTCATCTGCTTTAATATCTAGAATTCATTTAATGGTAGTAAACAAAGAAAACATTGTATGTAATGGTGACAGTGCTTTTAGATGTATACAGTACAATATTTTCATCATAAATTCAATTAATAAATATTATTTTAAATTAAATTAGTTTAAATAAATATAATTATTATCTAAACACACTTCAAAAGTTTCTTCTGCCCACCAATGCTGCACTTATTTGTTAAAAAAAACAGGAAAAACAGTAACATTGAGAAATATTATTACAATTTAAAATAACTCTTTTCTATTTTAATATATTCTAAAATGTAATTTATTCCTGCGAATCCTCTGAATTTTCAGCATCATTACTCCAGTGTCACATGATCCTTCAGAAATCATTCTAATATGCTGATTTGCTGCTCAAGACACATTTCTTATTATAATCAATGTTGCAAACAGTTGAGCTGCCTAATATTATTAAGAACACCTAGATACTTTTTTTCAGGATTTAGAACATTCAAACGAACAGCGTATATTTGAAATAGAAATCTTATATAACATTACAAATTACGTTACTTTCACTTTTGATCCAATGTATTTGTGTACTTGCTGAATAAAAGTTCTGACCCCAAACTTTTGAATGGTAGTGTAAAACAAATAAAGAAAGAAGTAAACATACGTGTGTATTAATATATACACTGACTGTAGTGTATATATATATATTGTAGTGACAACTTCAAGGAAGAACTGTGTAAGTCATTCTAAAGAAAAGCTGGTAGCACTTTACAATAAGGTCTCATTTGTTAACATTAGTTAACATACAATGAGCTATATATTTGTTACAGTAATTATTCATCTTTGTTAACATTAGTTAATAAAAATACAACTGTTCATTGTTTGTACTTGTTAGTTCACAGTGCATTAACTGTTAACAAATACAACATTTGAATTGAATAATGTATTAGTAAATGTTGAACTTAACATTAACTAAGATCAATAAATGCTGTAGAAGTATCTATCCAGATTTTTTGATTTGTGCAATTTTAAATTTCACTGATTTACTAGTGACTTACCCTCTAATTTGACGCTCTTTGGCATCACCTCGAAACGTACAACTCTGTAATTGTGTTCGACATCCTCCTCCACCTTTTCTTTGTGGTAGTACAGGATGAATGACAGATGGTTGTGCAAATAGAACTACAGAAGGGAACCAAACAGCATGCGTCAACCAATCATGAAAAAGAACTGAAATCACCAAAAACAACACGATTTTTTTTTTTTTTAAAGAAGCCTACAGCCATTTGTATCTATATTAAGTTGATAGACACAATTTTCTGTTATTGAAATCAATGTCAATAAATAAAATATGATAAGTGGTTGAGGTAACAAAACTAATTGCTTACTGTCTACATATTTAAACTGGGATAAAATTGAGCTAATGGGAAAGGATGCTCTTCAGGTTTACCTTGTTATTTTCAGAAAAGCCGAGCCTGTAGCCATGCTCGAACTGAATATCCTTCAATGTGTCCTTCTTCTGTTCTTCTTCCGTTCCCTCCTCTTTGTTAGGATAAAGCTCCAGCCGTGTGGCCACAGGGAGGTTATCTGCAATGCTGTTCATATGCATGACCTATTAACCAAACTACTACTGACAGCTTTAACTTTACAGGATAGGTGAAATATGCAGCATAAAAAATATTTAGATTTTTTTATATTCAAAAGTTTGGTGTATATAAGCTTTTTTAATGCTTTTGAAAGTAGTATCTTATGCTCACCAAGGCTGCATTTATTTGATCAAAAGTACAGTTAAAACTGTAATATTGAGAAATATTATTACAATATAAAATAGCCATTTTCTATTTGAACCTATTGCAAAATGTAATTTATTCCTATGATGTCAAAGCTGATTTTTCAGCATCATTACTCCAGTCTTTAGTGTCACATGATCCTTCAGAAATCTTTCTAATATGTTAATATGTTGAACTGCTGCTCAAGAAACATTTCTTATTATTATCTATGTTGTGAACAGTTGTTCAGATGAATTTCTTTGGAAACCGTGATACATTTTTTTCATGATTCTTCAATGAATATACAATGTAAAAGTATTTACTGTAATTTTCAATTCATTTAATGCCAAATAAAAGTATTAACTTCTTTTTTTTTTTAAATACATATTTGAATGCTAGTGTATATAATTTTTTTTTTGTAAATTACATTGTTCATGCAAATCACACTGGTTTAAAATAAATGTATTGCACAGAGAGACAAATTGCGCCGTGCATTTGACTTTTGAAAAGTAAAAAAAAGAATTCAGCACTTTGTATTGGGCCTCTTTCATGAAACACGAGCAGGAAAAAAATTGTGTAAACTGATGCATTGCAAGAGACTAAGAAAAATGTTGTGCTTTCATAAATGTGGAATGGCGTCAGTAGAGGAAGGACTCACAGGTGGATATAGTACTCTTCTTGGATGCGCTCGGCTAGCAGCTTGCTCTCCTCCACGGTGAGTTTGATGGGATTATCTGGCTTTTTACACAACACCTCACATTTCTTGTCCAGGTTCATGAGAACCGTGTAGAGCGTGTTTACGATACGGTCCCCTCGCAACACCTCACCTGGTCACATATCATCATCATCATCATCATCAAAATGAGAAGCATGTCACACAGTAATAAGTCAACCTTCTAACTGCAGGCGTTAGTTTTCTGTCACCTAGCTATACTTAAAAACGTCAGTGAAACGTCAACTTACCGAGATTCTCTGCCTTGTAGACGATGTTACCAGGCTTACAGAAAGGAAGTGAATAGTACTCATAGGGCAGCTGGGTTCTGGAGCTTGTCAATTTCACAGCCTGGTAATTAAAAATAGGTATATGTTAGAAACACCAAAGCACAAACCTAGAAACCTTTGGAGAAGGAATCTGTGGAATGAAGGATAGCCTAATGATTGTGTCAAACACAGATACATGGATCTAGATTGATAAGAGCTGGGCAGACATGTCTGAGGAAAACAGGTGGTCAATACAAGAGTAAATGGCTCTAAAACCAGCAATGTCTAGGGTCATAGGATAAAAAAAAAAAAAAAACAGCAATGAACATGAATAATTATGTTTGAGTAAAAAAGTAACCCCCTTTTTTTGCAACTCAAATAGAAAAATGAGGCCTCACCTTTATTTCAACAGGGCTGTTCTGGTGGAAATTCATAGGCGCAACTCCTGGTACATAAAAGGGTGTTACAAAAGGCAGCGTGGACACCAGTAACAGTGTCCACATCTCCTACAAACACAAAAATGACACACAAAGTCAAATATGTTTAGTGGTCTATCTTTAACCTTGTTGCAGTGCAAAAACAGAACACTGACACTGACAGTCAACTTGTTTACATAAAAATATACATCCACATGGAACCGTAACTAGGGTCAGTCAGTGCAGTGCTGAAAAAGAAAATCCATATTGTTGAGCTCTGTTGTTCAATCAGAAAATGAATGATCCATAAACCACCTCAACAGTTAAACAAGGTGAATCTGAAACAACCTCTAAACAATATTAATACAAACAGTCCCACCTGTATCCAAATAAGCAATTTGAGGTTGTTATTATCTATTACACAGTTAAAGTCCTCAAATGTAATTGGCCGAGCATTGTTTCAACACATAATGTGAGCTAATATGTGGAGTGGATGCGTAATGGAGTTTGTCATATTAAATGCATAAAAGTTGCGGTGAAACAGAAGTAAAAACAGATGTTTTCTTCCGTATTGTTACATGCTTCTCAGTGAAACATTTTCAAAAAAGTAAAAACTTTGTGTATGGGGACTACTAATGCATCTATGCATTAGTTGTTGATCAGATTTTGAGATGTGGTCGCGGCAGATGTGATCGTAAGAAAGGGGCGGGGTTTAAGCAGACTTAATGATTGGAGAAGTCCTGCTTGCGTCACCAGAGAGTAGTCCGGAGTTTTAACTGGAAAGTCTAGTAATGACACTCTGATTAAACATTACCAGGTCAAAAAGAATCGTTCACATTACGACTTACGAGCAAAATCACACTCACACATTTTCTTATCACAAAAGAATACAATTTACACTCAAAATCAATGACGTGTCCATTTATTTATTCATTTGGAAGTTCTCGTGTAATAAGCGATATAATGTGCCATATTTTTGCGTCCTGAACACAATGGCGGGGTTATTTTACGATGACGACCAATTATTTCTTACAATATTACATAAAGGTACATTAACACATTAATCTTCTTGTTAAGCCTAAACTCCAGTTAACTGTCCACAAGTGTCAAAGAACACAATCACAAACGGTGTCATCCGGCAAGAGCAAAACATTAATACATTCTGGAGAGAATTTAGATAACTCTGATTTAATCACTTTATCATCATCATCACATTTGCTTTGATTGCGAGAGGCAGTGAATGCTAAAGCAGCGCAAACGCATTAGCCTGACTGACAGACTCCATCATGTGATGCTGTTTACCATGAAACACAGTCGCGTATGGTCGAGTAAAGAGAGCTGTCTGCTTCATATGGCTTAGGTGTTAGATTGGATGAGGACATTAACTCTCACTCTTCGCAAACACTCGATAATTAGCTGCCTGCTAAGTGTTTAGGCTAGCCGGCTGCATCTCAATCGGCATCCACTGCGCGAAAATTGCAAATCATATCATAAGGCACACTCACAAGAAGCAACACGAAACAACATGGTTTAAAGCAAGTCATCTCTATCCGTGTGGAATTAAAATGTTTGTGCATTAGAGCAACAGAACAGACTTTAGCATTGGTACTCACCATCGCCGCCGCCATCTTGAATACACGTGTCATTGCGGACGTCACAGGAAGGATGTCAATGCGTCATCATGCTGCTGTCAATCAATCTGAAACCTTACATGGATATTGACACAACAGGGAGGGAGGCAACATTTGCAAAAGTTTCAGGCTTTTAAAATATCATTCCTATTACGAGGCATTTATATTGTAATTCCTATTTACCCATATGCATATTTAATTTCCTTATTTTGTTATCGCTTAATGCACTGCATACCAGATGTGGCCCGGATCTGGGCCGACACTATGCTGCTGCCTGGGTCACTTTTTCTTTTCTTTAATGGTCTTTAATTCCTTATCATTAGTAATACAATAATCAAGCAATAGCAATGAATCAATGGATCATAGACACACCAATTTCCTGCCATGTGAATTCAAATTCTGATAATTATTAATGCATCATAGAAAGTTTCGCCCCCCAGTTACAATAGACCTATGAGTGGAGATAATAATGCTTAGAATATTTGCAAAATGTATGTTTTTGTGAGTCAGCAACATAGGCTATATACTAATAAGTACGCTCATTAAACTTAAGTAATGTGCTGATGTGTGGAAAACTCTTAAGCGAATAGTTGTCTTAATGTAATTTTCCATGGTCTTGTAAACTTAAATAAATGCAACACTAAAATAATTTAACGATTTTGTAGAGCTATTATGAGAGTAAATGAGATTTTCCCTCTGTGCTAGACTCTAAATTAAATACATTTATTTGTTTTGTGGACTAATTGTAACAACATACAAAAATAGCAACAGGATCATTGTGCTTTTTTTTATAGGAAACTCTGCAGAAGGCTTTACATCAGGGGAAAGTGTATTGAAAATCATCTGCATAATCAGCATAATTTTTTATTTTATTTTTACACAAATGAGATTAATGTTAATGAAGCCACAAATGAGGTGCCTCAATCCGCTTGCAGGAAAACAGAATGAAAAAAAGGATTTCACATTTTCTATACTATTATTGCACAAAAGTTCAAACAAATATCAACAAAACCAAAGACGTGAAAGCAAGACACATATCAAACATTAAATTGAATAGCTTCAGGCTTGTAAAAAGCAACCTAAAAATCTCAAAAACCAAGCATAATTTACAAATGCATACAATCACAATACACAAATACCTTTAATACAAGTTCAAACTGTACTTTTTAAATCAGAACTAAAGAGATATTCATAACTACCTTAGGCATAGATGTTTTTCTAAAATGTTTGGAGCAATGATTCAAAATCGATTCAATATCATTTTCCTGAACAAATATATTTCTATAAATGTAATAATCCAGAATAATTTATTTGAAACCTAATGTAGGTTGAAGTTTTAGAATTAATTTTCTCATAAACAATCAAAACTACAATTTATTTCAATGCTCTTAATGTGTATTCTCAATGGCAATACGCATAAACATATAGTTTTAAAATACATCTGACATAAGGTTTTTACAAATAAATCAGAAAAATGGTTTTATATTAAAATGATAAATTCATATAGCTTTTGTTGTGCAACACTCAGAGTAAGGCAAAGGGCTCTGCATGATAGGAATAAAACTGCTATGAGATTTTGAAATTATATTAATTTACATGTCATTTAAATAACAGACAATAACATTTCACATATGTATAAAGTCAATGGGTTGGGAGGGATATGATATATTTGTGTACATTTCTTTGAAAGCTCCTGATACGAGGGATTTATGCAAGATGTGATGTCAAAGTGTGTGTGTGTGTGTGTGTCTCAAGGCTGTTGCTGATACTGGCTCTCAGTGGCCGTGTAAAAGTCCTCCAGTACACTCTGCAGGTACTCAAAGGTGGGCCTGTCCTCTGGCTTGTTCTTCCAGCACTCCAGCATGATGTCGTAGAGCTCCTGAGGGCAGGAGTCCAGACGCTGCATACGGTATCCTCTCTCCAGGGCACGGATCACCTCTGGATTTGTCATACCTGAACACACCGTAAACAGGTAGAAAAAGGAGTTTGCTAAGTTTTTAGCATCTGCTGTTACCAGAAAGTTAGTTTTTGGTCATTCTTCAGAAACTGTGCAAAATTTCAGGGGTTTACCCCCCTAAATTGTACTTTTAAAATGATTATTTATGGAATTTCAAGGAACTTCAAGACCATAGCTAAGTAATATTTTCGCACCACACCATAGTATTGGTCTTGTGCAGAAAATAAATGATTTTTAATAAAAAAAAGTTAGAATATTGAGTTTGACAATGCCAAAGTAAGGGTATCCAATGAAACATGATAAAGACTTAAGCGTACTTCTGTTTGAAACAGGTGGTCATAAATAGGTCACTTCCTCAAATATGATGACAGTAAAATCAAACTTTTAGAATTAGTTTGAAATGTCACTGTATAACAGAAACTTTGAACAGATTTTTCTTATTCTATATATTCAAAATGTAGTGATGATGACTGGGGACATGCAGATTAGATAATATTCCATTAAAAAACAAATTCCATTTAAAAATACACTGAAAAGTGAAATTCATTAAATACACTACCTTATGTTCAAAAGTTTGTGGTCAGAATAGTTTTAAAGACTTTTATATTGTTAAAAAAAAATATATATCAAGTAAATACTGTTTGTTTGAACTTTCTATTCATCAAAGAATTCTGAAAAAAAATGTATCACCGTTTCCACAAAAATATTAAGCAGCACAACTGCTATACCAACATTGATAATAATAATAAATGTTTCTTGAGCAGCAAATCAGCATATTAGAATGATTTCTGAAGGATCATGTGACACTGAAGACTGGAGTAATGATGCTGAAAATTCAGCTTTACAAGAATAAATTACATTTTAATATTCAAATAGAAAACTATTATTTTAGAAAATTATTATTTTACATTGTAATTTACTGTATTTTTGATGTATCAAATAAATGCAGTCATGCTGAGCATAAGAGACTTCTTTAAAAAAATAAAAAAAATGTGCAGATGGTATTGTAAAGTGAGTGTGTTTCACTCAAATAAAGGTCCATAAACAGTTATATGAACTCAACTGATTACATTAAGCAGAATTTAAACTGATTTAGTTGCTAGAATTTGCTAATTAAATGCAAGAGATAGTGGTAAGCTGATATGATGTCTAAATGTTTTCTTTACTAAGTTATGTTTTAGTGATTTTGTAAGTTAAGTCACGATTTTGAGTAGTTTAATTTAATGTCAAAAATGTGAGTCTGACTTTTGTGGAAAGTACAGTATATTTTATAAACCTAAATGATTTAAGGCATTCGGTTTCCTCAAATTATTTGAGTTGAGTTAACTTGAGTTTTTGCCAGTGTAAAATCAATCAAATAATAGTTCAGGATCCTGTTAACTGTATAAATAGTAATAATAGAGACACAAAAAGGAGGCACGAATGGCACCATTTCCGGAGAATGAAGCTTTTAGCATATTCACGGTGCACTGAGGTGACCACTAACCTGGATACGGTGTGCGACCATAGCTGATGATTTCAGTGAGCAGAATGCCAAAGGACCACACATCTGATTTAATGGTGAAGGAACCATAGTTTATGGCCTCCGGAGCGGTCCACTTTATAGGGAACTTTGCACCTTAGGTAAAAAACCCAAAACAAACATATTAACACAACTTCCGCTGGCAATAACCTATATTATGCATGCATTTGTCCACAAGTTACCAACTTATATTAAATCTATTTCTCTGTTGGCTGCCAGAGAACCAGATCAGACTAACCTTCTCTGGCAGTGTATTCGTTGTCCTCTATGATACGGGCCAGTCCAAAATCAGCGATTTTACACACTAAACTCTTGTTGACCAGGATGTTGGCAGCACGAAGGTCTCTGTGAATGTAGTTTCTCTGCTCAATGTAAGCCATGCCTTCTGCTGTCTAAAGTCAGGAAAAAGAACCAGGTTTTAGCTACTTTTAATGTGTGTATGTACTGAGTTTGTGTCACTGAGAGCAAAATAACATAGGTTAGTCAGCAACAGGTACGATAAGCTATAAGTGTGTGTGTGCACGTGTATGTGTGCGCGTGTGCGCACGCGTGTGTGAGTGTGTGGTCCTGGTAAACCCATGTTGTGTGGACCAAATGTCACCACAAGGATAGTAATACCAGAAATATTTGACCTTGTGGGGATATTTTTGGTCCCAATGGGGAAAACAGCTATGAATCATACGGAATTAAGATTTTTGAAAATGTCAAAATGCAGAAAGTTTTCTGTGTGTAGGTTTAGGGGATAGAATATACAGTTTGTAAAGTGTAAAAATTATTATGTCTGTGGAAAGTCCCCATAAAACATGGAAAACAGTATTTGTGTGTGTGTGTGCGTGTGTGTGAATCCTCTTATCGGTCAGTGCAGATTCACATCAGTCTTGTTAAGTGCTTGCAATTCTCTTCCTCTTTCCAACCTAGCGGCGCACCCTTTTTTTTGCAACCATTACACTTGCTTGAATGTAACATCAATGACTATTCTTATGTCGTGCTTCCTCAACCCCAATATTTCTTATCAATCTTTTAGTATAACTTTATTATTACCTGATTCTGAATATATATTTGACTGTTTTAAATAATCACTTGCACAATAGAGAGAACAAACTGATATTATCTTGGATTATCAGTGACAAAGAGAAAAAGGAATAGATTGTCATGTTAATGACAGTCCACCCTCTCTCTCACACACACCCCTGTACACAAATATTACTGTCTGTCGGTTATCAAATTTGAATATTGAAATCTAGTAGGACAAACCTGTCTTCCACATCAAGGTAACATGTGATTCTATATGGGGGAGGAAAGCACATCAACTGAACAAATGAGACCTTTAAAGCGTCTCACCTGAGCTGAGAAGTCAATCAGCTTGGGCAACTGGACACGATTCCCTTCATCGCTTTTAATAAAGTCCAGTAAACTGCCTGAAAAACACATACGCACAAATAAGTAAATAATAAAGATATATAAGGCTAACATTGAAGTGGCTAAAGTCACACACAGACACACACCTTTCTCCATGAACTCTGTAATGATGTATATGGGCTCTTCTTTGGTGACCACAGCGTTGAGACGGACCAGTTTGTCGTGCTGGAG